AATCATGTGGTTTGATGTCACCCTACGATGCCCTCGCCTATATGACTGCATGCAGTCGTATCCAGCGACCTAGCATCGGAGAGTCCCACCGTTCTGCCAGCGCCCTCAGGATGGTGTTGGGGCTGCCGTGCACCCGCCCAAGTAGCGAGGCGCAGCGTTTACGCATGATGGCCGCGAAACCATCTGTATGGGCCTCGACAAACATGCCGGAGGCACTGCAGTGACGCGGCAGCCCCATCAACACCCTGAATGCGTTGTTGTATTGTATTCGAAGGCCGCTATATACCCCCTGCGTATACTTCACCCACAGACCGCATGTATAAAAAGATTGGCAGAATGCTTTAAAGAGTGCTATTTTAACCGGCTTGGTACATTTTACGAATCTGCGGGCTAACATATTACAGCGGACAGACAGCGACCTCCGTTCCCTCTCAATATAACAATTGTCATTTAAATCTTCTGTTATCCTCTCTATCTTCTGTTATATAAACCTTCAGCCTAAATAAAGGACAATCCTCTTTAGGCCTGCCATTTGATGGGCTGCTACGTAGTGACGGACTCGGAGAACCCAGCGTTGAGGTCAACGGAGGATAAAGGCAATTGGAGCAGGTTAAGCATGCCCATAGCCGAGTAGTCGGTGGGCTGCAGGACCCCATAGTCCTAGCGGCACCCAGGGTCGCGCTCACTGGTTTCCTGCGAATTTACAACAAAAAGAATCAATAAAAGTATCAATTTGGTGCTGTATTCCGTGAAAGTTTTGAACTCTTGTGATGCAAACTATTCAAAATTGGACAAGGCTATGTTGTTAATTTTTTCATTCTGAAGATAACAATTAATACTTCAGCATTATCCTCAGCCTATTTGTGTCTTTACTGCTGAGGCCTTCCCTATGGATGAAATAGGGAAGGGATTCTATTTAGTTTGTTAGTTACAATATCAAAGAAGAATGGACACGATTTTTTTCTTTGGTCAATCAACCAAAACATTGCAAAGATAAAGCGCGTCAAAGTTTTGGAGTGGAAGCAAGTGACGTCAAATTTAAGTAAAAATTGTACCAAAACTATCAATACATGCGACATTTCAAACTAATATATCTTAGTAATATTTTGATTATGTGAATAAAGAAAAAATAAGTGTCCAATACTATTCGATAATCTATCTGACGGAAGAAGAAAAAAAAGTTAGTCATCATCCCTTTTATATTGATAACTAGCTGACCCAGCGAACTTCGTACCGTCACAAAAAAGGGGCAGGTGGTAGAAGAGTGAAAATTTAGGGTGGTATGTATTTTTTATTACCTCATAATATAAAATAAATATGTCCAAAAACAAAATTTTTAGGGGTGTGTAACGTAGTGTTCCATCAACTTCCTGGGATAACATTCCTCCTAACCCATATGAGAACACTACGTTACAATACCCAACAGTTTGAATTTTGCGCGAAGGCGCTTTGTAGGTTTCAGAACACTACGTTACACGTGGACAACCCTTATCACTTAAGGATATGAAAAATAGATAGTAGCCGATTCTTAGACCCATGGAATATGTATATTCAATTTCATAAAAATCGGTCAGGCCGTTTCGGAGAAGTATGGTAACTAACATTGTGACATGAGAATTTTATATATAAGATAATCACTGATGTTATTTCTATTGTTTTGTCCTTCCTATGTTTAGCTATAAATTTAATGGCGTGCAAAAACTTACTTTCCATATTAAAATGTTTTTATTTACTATGTCACAATTATATTATGTCTATACTATACTATGTCAAAGTTTATCAGTATACGTACGTAAGATGTATGAGCGTATCTTTGTTCATGGGTATCCCCGATTCCCAGTATCGTCTAAGATTTTAATAACTATCTGTGCAGAAACTCTGTGAACGGGGAATAACTTGTGGTATTTATTTGTGTGATTTTTAAGATGGTCATTACCTATTGCCACCATTATTTATTCCTTGATTTTTAAGATTGTTATGATTACTATGCTAATATAATTGTAAACTTGTTCATTTTTGATCTTATTTAGAAATCAGAATTAAGAAAGACAAATATGTATCATGAATTACTTATTTTCTATTGCTCCCAAATTTTTATAAGTTTATAACCTTATAAGGCTGCATACAGAAAGAAAGCTGAAAGCCGACCAGCACTTGTCGGCGCTTATTGGCGCTGGTCCTTACTGGTTACAGTTACATAAAGGAAGCAGATTAAAGCAGAGCAAGCAAAATGTCGGACTCATCGGACGATGATTTGGTTTTGTTAGAAATTGTGTATTTCAATGCGAAAAAAAACTATACACCTACACACATCAAAAGTGTCTAGGGATCAACATATATTTTTGCAATAACTTTTCTCCTGATTGATATTAATTAAAATTTTCTTTAAGGATTCATCAAATAAAGTGTTTTCGTTTGTCACAGTAACGATAAACCAAGTCACCTTTGCATTAATAAAGAAATTTGCCATTTTCCTAATAAAGGGATTTTTGACATTTGAACCACTAACACAAAAGTTCGAAAAAAAGACTGAAATAACAGTTTTCTCTAAAATTTTATTGGGTAACTTAAACAATTAATAATCCGTATTTCTACCGCGAACACTAACAACACAAGAACATCGGTTTGGCATACTCAAAATGAGTTCATCCAAATCACGCTGTGGAATGGCCGCCCATGTTCGTTGCAACAACAAAAAAAGGTCTTCTTGCGACTGGATACCCTCCATATTCGGCAGAGCTCTTCTCTGTAGCATATCCCATGCATGCTCAATCGGGTTCAAGTCTGGCGACTGAGCAGGCCAGGGCAGGACATTGATGTTAGCTGCGGCGAGAGTCTGTCTTACAACTCTTGCGGTGTGCGGTCGTGCATTATCATGCATTAACTGAAATAAGGGACCGATTTGCACTTGTAGAGGAACGATGACGTCTGATACAATCGTCTCAGCATAAATTTGAGCGTTGAGGTTGCCTCTGATCCAAATCAACTCAGTTCTTCCGCCGATCCAAATACCCGCCCATACCATGATGGTTCCACCACTATAAGGATGGACTTCCTGGCAGGATTTTAATCGCTGTTGGCGTCCAGGGGTTCTCCAGTGTCGTATACGTCTTGTATCCGGTCTCATACCAAAACGAGACTCATCAGAAAAGCACACGAAACGCCATTGTTCTTCTGCCCAATTTCTGTGTTCAAGAGCCCATTGATATCGAATCCTACGATTGTGCATTGCTATAGGTGGTACCCGTAGCGGTCTTCGGGAATGAAGGTTCACTTCATGCAAGCGGTTTCTGACTGTTTGGTCGCTAATTAAGTTCCCTGAAGAGTGATGAAGCCTCACGGCTAACATCATGGCGGTTATTGTTGGAGCTCTTCGAGTTAAGATTTGAATGTATCGGTCTTGTCTCCGTGTGGTGCAGCGATACCGTCCTCCATGGCGCTCAGCCACGGTACCAGTGCTTCGGTATCGTGTCCAAAGTCGACTGATAACACTCTGACTTGTATTCAGAGCTAAAGCCACAGTACGTTGCCGGGAACCAGCTTCTATCATTCCCACGGCTCTGAGCATTTCTTCCCTGCTTAAATGACGTCGCCGCTCCATAATAACGTTGGTTTTAATCAGTAGTAGGGAAACAGTAGCACTAATAATGTCTTCAATGCGTTGTATGTTTTTATAGGGAAAATATTGACAGCTGATTTTCATCTTTTACTCGAATTTGATTCACAGTTCCTGATTCAAATTATGAAATGCACCAAAAAGGATCCATATAAATTTATAAAATCATAAATTTATTAAAAAGCCACATCTCAATCTCAAGAAATCCGCATAAAAATGCTTGATCCCTAGACACTTTTGATGTGTGTATAAATAGAGAAAGGAAACGTGTCGGAGAATACCATCATTTATTTGTAAAAAATAAATAAATTTGATTATCAAAGATTTTATACAAATACAAGAATGACCCAAGAAACATTTAATTACATTTTGGATTTAGTAAAAAACCTTTCAGCTTTCTTTCTGTATACGGTCTTAGATTAAAACAAAAAGGGAAGATACTCGCGGCTCAAAAGTGATCCGCTTAAATTATAGTGCACGATCACAATTAGCTAGCTATAGTCATAAGTGGACATTCAAACACGCTGCATGTGCACTCAACATAACAATATTGCGTATGAATGCGTGTTATAAAGATTACACAATGCCTTCAATGCTTTTATAAAGAACACAAAAAGTTCAAAATCGAATAACAAATGCCTCGGCAACACTTCTCATTCGTAAAACTATAAAATATTTTTTTTCCCAAAAATCACGGTTTGTCGTGAATGTTATTTACGTAATCGCCATTTTGTTATCAGGAAAAGGACAACAATACAGCTCAGCCGTTCGCACTCGGAAGCGGATTCGCCGTTTACCTCTCTCTGTGTTGAAGCGTACAGTTCTGTCTCGCTCGTTCGATTGATGTTGTTTACAGGCGTGTGCGTGTGTGAGATTTGCTTATGTAGTTGAATCGTATCATATTTTATTTGATGCTAGTATGAGCGTACCGTATCTTCCCTTTTTGTTTGAATCTAAGTTTATAGCACCTAGAAAATCACTTTGATACTCATATTAGTTTATACATTCTATTTTATTGAGTTTTATTTGTTTCTAAGCTCAAGCTTATATTTTGAGCAAGTCTGTTGCACAGCAAAGAAAATGAATAGTCCAACTGAGTTTAATTTATTTAAACCAATATATTCATCTACATTTTAAAATTTAAGGTAGATTTACAGGGGGTTAGTTAATAACTCCAAATTATAGTGAAGTCAGTTCTGACCCGATATTGACATAGTGGGTATTGATTTGGAGACATTATATTGCCGTCGTTAAGATTATTGACTGAATATAAACAGTGCGATTCAGTTCTCGGATGCCAGAATTGACCGATTTGGAGTCACTATATGAGCATATCTAAATATGCATTTGTCATGCGTTCTCTGTAATGAAGTCAACTTCTAATATGTTGTCGAGTGTACTTCCGCTGGTACTGCTGTGTGCAGGCGTGCATAGTCAGCACGCTGCAACGTTCAATATCAACTCAGATGGCACCTCCAGTGTCGGTGGCAAGTAAGGCTTGGCTGGAAATGACGATAATGCTCTAAGCGCCTTATTTTCTAAGTCTTCCACAGGAGTTGTGAGTAAAGGACTCACTCTGGACAATGTGTAAGTAGAAGTTGTTTTTGAACTTTGAACATCTGATAATAAATATTCAGTTAGTATAAGTATTTTTTTAACATCTGAAGCTCTTCAACAGGAACGGTCACGGTCCAACAGTGTCGCACACGAACATTGGAACAACTTCGGTAGCCAGCTGACCGGCGCGGAGAAGCTGAATTTACTCCACAACACCAAGCACAATCTGGACGCCAACGCCTTCGCCACCAGGCATATGCCAAACATCCCGCAAGTGCCTAACTTCAACACCTACGGCGGTAATCTGGACTACATGAACAAGTAAGAGTTTATAGTATTCCCTGCTAAGTATTATTTCTGAGCAGCTCGATGGCGCAAGTGGTGAACGCCTTCGGTCTTCGATCGTTAAAATTTAGCAACTTTTGCAATGGCCGGTCATTTGATGTGTTATCAAAATTATATTATCACAAGTACCTCCGTGTTTCGGAAGGCAAGTTAAGTCGTTGGTCCCGACTGCATCTGCAGTATTTAAAATCCTCCAAAGTGCACTGGGGTGGGCTATTGTCCAACCTCCGTATTTCATGGGGAAAGCCTCACCAGTGGGGACACTAATAGGCTAAAGATGATGCTGATTGTTGAGAGTAAAGATCGTGCTGGGCCCTTGAAAATAAATTTAATGACAATAAACTATAACTCACTTGAGGATTAATGAGGCGCACCTAGACAATTGGAATAGTGTTAATGCAAACTAAATGAGATCAAGGTGTAGTGTATGTTTAGTGTTATGAGTGACAAGTAGAACCTAAGTCCGGTGTGGTGTTCCAAGGCGAGCTTCACTGCTCCAACCTTGGGTCCAGAACGCTGTCCGCAAAGCTCCTCCGCTTAGCACTGCACAACTCCCTTTGTCCACAGTGAACCCAACAAAAAACTACTTAAACGCACTGCCGATCGCGTAATTTAAATACCGAAAACAAAATTCCAGATGCAAATTCCGTTGCATAAAACTCGGCCGAGCACTACCCCGTTCAGTGGCTAGCTTAAGTATATAGACAAAACGATCGCGCGTTCGCCGTGAGAGTTTTTTCCAGACTACCCTATTTTAGCCCGTTTAAGACTAAACACTGATGTAATTATTTTTGGCCTCTGAATGAAAAAATCCATTGCCTTGCCTAATTTTGCTTAGTTTGCTTCTGAAGATTCCAAGACTTTCATGAAATACAACACCAAGTTGTATTCTCCATTGATTTCTTTTGTTGTCAATTCGCTAGGACCCCGTTCCTGCAGCACACCTGTTCCAGGCAAGCTGAACCTGTTCCAGTCGGCCTTGTCCTCCGTCGACCTCAACGCTGGATTCTCCAGGTCCGTCACTCCGCAGTTCTCCACCAAATGGCAGCCTTCCGAAAGATTGTCTTTCACTAGGTTTTTCAATGGATAAGTATAAACGCTGAAAGAATTATTGTCTTTCTGAGTATTTTCTTGTTAAGTCAAATCGAGCTTAAAGTGTTAGTAATTTTTATGTACTTACTTACGTGTAGATAATGTTTATGTTATTTATTTATCTCTCAGTATTTGCCCTAAATAAAAACTCTTATATCTGTTTCTTCCAAAGCTTTTATTCAACTTGCGACATAATCATGGATGTTTAGGTCAAATCTTGCGGCTGTATTTTAAAACAGTTTTCTTCAACTGATTGAGATGAAATTTGGCACATGGGGATGACATTCCATGATAAGTTCAATAATCAATATTGCGGAATAGATATTATGTCTGCACTCCGATGATAACATGGGCATAAAATTAAAGGGTCCTTTATTATCATTTTTTATACGAGGCTCATCAAATTACCCACCCCACCTGATGTTAAAGTGTAAGTGGAGTCCAGTCACGAAGATAGATGATGCGGCAGAATGTGTGCCGCTCCAGCCACGCTGACCTTGCCGGTCTGAACCCAATTCCCGATCCCGCGAGGCCCTAGAACCCTTTCCAGCATCAGTAAGACAGCATTTGTGGTGTACGCTTCTAAAATTTGCTTGGGGTCTACTTGTCACAAGTTGGCAATATATAAAAAATGTGTCTACATTGCGGCTGGTAATGATGTTATTGGCAAATGCATACACAAACAGTATTCGCTAATGGCGCGTGTTATGACGTCACAGGAGCAGTCTAATGGAAACGCAGTGCTCTCCTGCATTTAATGGGCAGCGTCAAAGCGTCTATTTAGTACTAAAAGCATGTTTCAACAGACGTGTCTGTGAATTTTGAAGGCGCGCGCCGCAGCATACGAATTAAGTGCACATCTGTGTATAAAGTGTCTCCAGCGGGACGGTATTGCCTAAGTATAGGTTTAAAAACTCTATTAAACTCTTTTAAGTAAACGTTGTCAAAGTAACGTGAAAAAGTAAAATAAGCAGCATTATTATACGAAGACAATGTTAAAATGGAACTTTTATGACATCGCTACAATTTTTTTTGCTCATCTTTAGCAAGTCGCATTATATTTTTGATTGTTATTAAAAAAACAATCAAAAATATAATGGTCAGGTTTTGTCAATAAGCGTCGGTGGTGCAGTGTATAAAGCTCATCTGCTACGCGGGCGGCCTGAGTTCGAATCACAGCTGAAGAAGGAATTTTTAGTTATATTTACAAAGTTTCACTTGCATTGTGTTTTCATAAAACCACATCAATATTTTTGTTTATTTCTTCGGCCCTAGATATTGTACTAATTTTACAATAAACCTGCGATAGATTATTTGATACACTCTGTGAACATCTAGAAAACTGTGGGTTATTCAAGCATAATGCTAAAATAATGGCACGAAAGACTCAATGGCTGGACTTTGAATGTGTGTTCTATAATTAATTATTTGCGTCTATACATTCAGTACCAGTATGCTTCTGCCACACCTGCGTGACGAATTTTTGGTACTAAACGTACTAAAATGCGCTAAAATTAGCATTCGAAATATATATTAGTTCCAACTTAAGTAGTACGCTCCCTCAGCTGCACATACAAATTTATCGTCTCCCACAACCTCTTTTATGTGTGTCAAAAATCGCCAGCCAAGCTATCGTCAAGCGTCCATAAGCACGAAGCCCGATAAGTCTTACGATAGAACTAAATTCAAATTTAGAACGGTAACTTTAGAGTAGTACCAAGATTCATCGCGCAGGTATGTGAGAAGCAAATTGGATCACACTATGTTGAGTATGTTTTCCATCCACAGGGAAGTCGGCCGCAACATTACAGAGAGGACATTACAAAGACTACAATGATGTAACAAAAGTCATGGAACACGATAAATATTAAAATTTTGTTCTAAAACAGCAAATTTGAATTTCGAATTTATAAGAGCGAAGGAAGCCATTAAGCGACTGAAAGTTTTCATCAGCCCAAAGACGTTGTTATGGAAATTAAAAACAAAACGGGATTGAAATAAATAAGTTATTCGAATGACGTTATTTCGAATTCGGAGATTGGAGAGCCATCTCCTTTGATTGCTATGCAGACCGTTTCTGCTTTCAGATTTAATTTAATGAAATGTTTGCTTTTATGTAAAACTCTAACGGCTGTAGGTACATCTTCTGGGAGGTGTCAATCATCTTTGAGTCTGATTAATATTTATGCTGAAACTTTCCTCGACAAGCATTAATAGGGATGACGGGTAACTTTTTTTCTTCGTTAATGATAAAGATTATTATAAAGTACTTTAACATATATTTATGGCGTATTAGGGAGATTCGACCATGACCCATCACATTAATAAAATCATTGCTTCCTATAAGTATTGATTCGAAATGTCGCCTGACGTCACGTCATTGCGTATTCATAGGTGATATAAATATTTTTGACTTCGTTTCAACAAAGTTTTGTTATACCATAATACCAAGAAATACCTAGAAATATAATACTTACCTACTACCATCTTGAACCACTCTGTCTATTTTCGAAAGCTACACAGACAAAAGGAGCGACTTTGTTTTATACTGTGTAATAAAGATAGCGCGGCAGGCTTGACATACTTCCTTCCTTCCATTGTACATCACATACATCAAGGGGTTTACAAAAGCTGCACGCTTCAGAAATTATTCACACGTCACTGTCTACGAGCACCACCGCGTTATCATAACGGAGGCGACGTGCGTTATCGACTGTGTTACTTTAAGCTTTGAACGTGACGCGTTCAGGGTGTTTTAGGGCGGCTCAACAAAACACCGGTTGGCATTACAAAAATGAAGTCGTATCAAGGAAGTTTGATAGTATGACTAGCGGTCCGCCCTCGCTTCGCTTCGGTGTAGAGCTGAAGTGTAGACTACAGTTTTTGTTCTCAGGCTTGTATTATACACAATGACATTCATCTATGATTCTTCTTATACATGTATGCAAAGTCTCAGCCCGATCGGTTTAAAATTGACAAAGTTTCATCACAATTTTCATTCCCTATTTTATCCCCTTGGGGGTAGAATTGATCAATCCGTCCAGTGGTTTGGGCTGTGCGTTGATAGATCACTATGTCAGTCAGTCACTTTAAAGTTAATAACGGGCTGAAATTTGGCATGCAGGTAGATATAGATGAAAAAAGTAAATACACCTAATTGCAAAAAATGTCAACAAATTGATCACCTGCATCAACTTTTAATGGAATGTGAGCGGTTCAATCAGGTTGAAAGAGACATATCACTACAATGTATAAAGCAAAGTCGCTTCCCGCTGTCTGACCCCATGTCCCTATGTAAGCTTAGATCTTTAAAGCTACGCAATAGATTTTGATGCGGTTTTTAATAGATAGAGTGATTCAAGAGGAAGGTTTATATGTATAATACATGCATAATATAGTAGAGAAAGACTGATAATTTTAGAGGTTTTTGATGTAAGGTCGTAAATAAACATATTTTTTTGCGCTTACATTGCAAACGCTGGCTGAACCCTACGAGATAGATCAAAATAATGTACTACAATATTGTACACCTTAAAAAGGCCTACAAAAAATCCGCGATGGTATAAACCTATCTCTTAGGGATAACCCACAATAACCATTTTTTAATTACTTATTACGAGAAAATAATGGTTTATTTACGAAAAAGCGATTTTAAGCAATACAACATTAATCCTTAACCAATTAAGTACCTTAAATAGATTGTGGATGTAACATAGATCAATATGGCCCCTTACAGCATGTAATTTAAATGAACGAAACAGATTTAAAATGCAGGAACATACCGGTTCGGGCGGCGCTGGCCTGTGGGCCGGCGGCCCTAAGGTAATTAGGTATTTAAAGAAAGTCATTGTGTTTAATAGAAGCCTGAGAACAAAACTTTAGTCTAAACAACAACTCTACACCGAAGCGAAGCGAGGGCGAGCAACTATAGTTTATAACAAAATTTCAAATAAATAAGTTGGATATAGGGATTGTTCAGAGTGCTCTGAGCAACCCCGAATCTGAAGCCGCATTGTACTTGTGTAATTTAGTGGAATGCTCCCAGTAAATTATACAAGTACGAAATCTAATGTAATCATTTTTATAATTCCTAGTAAAGTAGTTCAGTACTTCTTAGTTTGTTTCGATGGAGCTGTCATGTCATCGGACGAAAGCTCCAAAACAAAAAAGATAAAAAAAAGTTATTACTTACGCAGTAAAAAGCAGACTCCTTTGGCAGTATCCGTTCACGAGAATGACGCAAAAACCAGCTACCGCTTCGCTCAACCATATTTTAGGGAACGTAACGACCCGTCTCACACGGCACTACCGCAGAGATTTTTAAGAGAGCATGCCTAGTAACTACCAGTTGGCTGATGTTACTCTGGATTTCACTCAGTCAATCAGGCAGGTTGGTGCAATTTTTTTTTGAGCTGATAGGACGTCATTTCTGTTTGTTCCCTCCCCTACTGAGAACTGAGCAACTTACACAAGCTGATCTACAAGCTACAAGCTGAGAGGTATTTAAACGAACACAACA